AACTTCTTCTAGTGTTGGGGGACCTGTCTCTATGTCCCATTCAGGGTCCGACTGGATAGCGGGCAGCGCAATGGTGGCTGGAGGCCAGTTAAACTGTTCCTCAAAGTGTTCTGCCCATCGTCCCAGTCGCCTTCCCTGCGAGTGAATCGCCGATCCGTCCTTCTCCGCTATAACCTCACTAACTGTTGTTGACCATTTCCCCCCAGTCTCCTTAATAAGTCTAAATAACTGTCTACTGTTACCGATCGCCGCTGCCTTTTCCATCTCTTTAGCCTTTGCTGCCCACCACTGTTCACGATCGTTGCGCAGACTTTTCGTCAGTTTATTTTTAAGTTGCGCTCGCTCTTCATTGTACTCAGAGCCTGCAGGGATGCATTCACGTGCATCCATTAGTTTGGAAGAAGCTGCTGATATCCACTGGCTCTTTTTAGCCATTATCTTGGAGTCGGCTACAGTCTCCAGTGCTGCTTTTACAGTAGACTGAAGATGGCACCAAGCTTCTTCTGGATGAGTGACAGTCTTTTGTTCCGATAACTGCCTAGCCAACTTCTCACTGAACACGGCTTTGGTGTTTTCGTTGTCCAGCAGAACTCGTAGTGGTTTTGTTGCCAAATTTTTTCTACGTCCATTGAGACGCAGGCATATACGTGCTCGGACCAACGCATGATCGCTGTCCAAACACGTACTCCAGAAGGAGCGGCAGTCTTCCACCGATCCTCTCCAGCGATGACTAATAGCAATGTGGTCTATCTGTGTCCATCGCTGAGTCGAGCTCGGTGGACGCCAGGTCAGACAGTGCCTTTCTTTATGTCTGAAATTTGTGCTGGCTAAAAATAGGCGGTTATCTGAGCATAGTTGTAATAGGCGATCACCGTTATCTGTACGTTCAGCTGGGATTCCGAAAGTGCCACCTAAGTGCCTTTCTGCCTCACTCAGTCTACCCACCTGTGCGTTGAGGTCACCTGCAACAACCACTACGTCCGAACGTTTGGCTTTCGAGAGGAGGTTAGACAGTTTATGGTAGAACTCGTCCTTCACTTCATCCGAACTACAGTCAGTGGGTGCGTAAGCAGAGATTACAAAGAGACAACGGCGAGTCTCACTATTCCTTTTAGTTCTCACTGTGCCGTTCAGCCTCATAGCGCAGAGGCGACTATCAACTGGGATCCAGTCTAGTAGTGAGTTTTCTGCCCTGGTGCTTAATGCTATACCTACACCTGCAAGACCACGAGAGCTAGCTATCGAATCTCCAGAAACTCGAAGGGTGAATTTTGCAGATTCACCAGATTGGTCAGGAGAGGTCAGGTGAATAACCACACTTGGGTCCTGTATGCGTGTCTCACAAACACAGCACACATCCATGCCTCGAGTTGCTAGAGTCTTTGCCAACGAAGCCTGTTGGCCAATTTGACGGAGGGTGCGGACATTGAAGGCTCCAATATGTAATTTGGAGCGTGGTTTAAGGAGACCAGGGACACTGTTCTGTGGACTCAGATCGTTGTCGAAGGCTGCAGAGGTAGGAGAAATTGAAGATGATGCAGCATCATTAATTAAGAGACGTGAAGGAAGATTAGAAGGTAATGATGGAGGAGGAGGATAGCAGTCAGAAGAAACTTGGGTGCTGACAGAGTTGTGAGGGCGGTTGACACTTCCCGGCTGCCCACACCGTGGAAGGCTATTTCTTCTTAAGGTACCTGAAAGAGATTTGTGTGACCGCAGAGCCCATCGGACATCTGCTTGAGGCCTGTCACACCCAGCCTTTTGAGTATGATTATTTTGAATTTTTGTATTTTTGGGGCCGGATGAGCGAAAGGAAACGACAAGTGAACCAACACCGCCGGCCCGGCAGACCGTGGGGCGTGGTGGAGTGTGTTATTTTTGGGGCCGACCTTTTCTAACCCCCCCTTCCACTGAGAAGGCAGCATCAGCTTGGCACTGCTGGTCATCCAAGGGAAACACCTTACTGCTGTCACACCCCATCCAGCTAGCAGCAGTACGACTTCGCCCTCAGACCCCCATCATAGTATAGCAATTTACACTATGACGGTAACTGCTTTTCGTCTAACCACTACCCAACAGACCTTTCTGGTATGGTAGGACCTCGAGGGAACAAGCGTTCCACCAGCATAGCTCGTTGGGTCATTGTGATATGCAAGCCCGACCACCACGTCAAGGTAGCAGCTAACGGTCGGGGATAAGCCTGGTGGTACATATTTGTGTCCTAATGTCTTATCGATACGACTGCTAGCCATCGAATTGATGTTGCCTAGTATGTGAGTGTCAGTAGAAACTTCTGTGAGATCACGTGAACAGTATTATCAGTTCAGTTTATAGAAAGCAGAAAAAACAGTGATTATCTAATATACGATTAATTTGTTTAAAAACATGGCTTTTAAGCAGCGGGTCCTTGGTTCAAATCCCACTCTATCTACTTCAACCAGGATAAATGAATAGAGTGGTTCTTGGTCTGGTACATAAACACACATAAGGGGTTGAGTTGCATTACATGACCATATTCTTCTGAATTCATTTTTCAGAGCAATTAGAAACATCACCTGTCACGTTTTTATAATGTGGGGAAAAATAGCTTTTCAACCAATAAAAGTTATGGTTTATGGGTCAGTAGTTTTCTCTTGACTAAAAATATTCCGCAAGGCTGCAAAGTAGCTAAAGACATAGATGAAGTCAACATGTTAACGGTTTTATTATTCTTCTAATCCATGTCTAAGCAATCAGCTGAAAATGTTAGGATAGGAGTATTGGCGACGCAATACGGGTTTCTTCAGAAAATAACAGAATACCGTTCACAGAAAACCAGTTTTAACTGTGTAAACTGGAACCTAATTATTCTCGACAAAATACTGAATGTACTCAAACTATTTGAAGCTTTTAAACGAAGCTGAAGTTCAGATAACTGTGCACAGAGAAAGCGAAAAAGCTAAGTATAAACTGGCCAGCCTATCGCCATTAATTATAGAAACCTCGTTAACTGTTATCTTTTAACCGCCGTAAACTGTGGGGACAGCTGAACATCTGAGGATCTTTCGGCTTATTTGTAAGACGTTTATCCAGAGTTTGAGATCTAAATAGATGCATAAAATTTTAGTAGGCGACAGAAATTGACTATTTTTTTATAGTCAACTCAGAAAAGTATTACTTAAAGCTTCTAAAATCATAATCAGACCTTTTAGGCATGAAAGTCCACTTCCCACACTAGAATGTAAACCGGTAGGATCATTTATAAGGCAGTTTATGAGCACCCTTTTGTCCTGAATGTGAGATCGGATACCCATAGTTGTATTTATACACAAATATACTATACTCCATCCAGCTTCCAATCTTCACTTCTTATTACTGAAGAAGAAGGACCGCCGAATCTATGGATCATACATTTCAATCAAAGCACAGTGACCATTCTGTAATCCCGTGTACATGTTAGAACAGCAACTAAATGATAGTTTCACTGTGAAATTTTTGATAAACAGAACAAAATGGAACTAACATGTTAGATGACGTACAACCATCTGGAAGGTTTGAGGATTGTTCAGATAGTAGAGTTTCAGATTTTACGAAGTACTTAAACTGCTGTTTTGATCCTATTTAAGGAATCCTAAAACGTTTGATTGGGAGTCATTTTCGTTGGATTTTAAATTTCGCCCGACATGTGACACTTTTAGTAAACTTTAGGAACAGTCGGACAACTTTGTAAGTGAAACTGGAAAAACCACAGGAAAGAGAGCTCAGTGGCTATTAAGCACTTTTAACGCCCCAACACGAGTACTGGGTATCTGTTTGGATACTGCTTGGCAAAATCCAAACAAACTTTCACAGTAGTACTACAGAAATCTGTCACACTTAGAAACGGGTATCAGCTGGTACATTAGGTATGCAGAGGCTTAGAAACTTTGTTTCATTGTAAGTTAAGCAATCCCATATTCGCTTTGAAGTTTTTAAGAGTGAGAAATAAGAATTTTTCTACCACCTTGAGAATATTCATGGCGAATACTAGTCACGGGCTGCGAAACAATCTCCAAGATCTAATAGTAGGCGTCAAGGCTAACAAGGTGGGTGGGAAGTTTTGTTGTTTGGCTTTTGTGAAACATCAGTATAAAATTAAATCAAACGGTAGTGTCAGTACAGACCATTCTGTTTCATGAGCTAGTAGGGACTGTTAACTTTCTCTTGGTTAAATATTAGCATTTGTCAAGTTTCCTCCGGTATTACGGTGCGTACAACAATTCTAAGTCATGAACAAGCGTGAGCTCACTTCTTACTTCGTTTGCTTAGCGATAGTCGAACACGATACATAGTTGGTGAATAGAGTGGGGTAATCTTACTTCACCAAGTATTTCTCGAAATGTTATCAGCATAATTCTCATTGCAAAATACAACGAACAGTCCCAAAACGAGTGGCTCAAGCATAGCAGCATATTGTATTTCCTTTACCTTCACGCGAAATAACAATACAAGGGTTTAGATCAAGTCAAATTGACGCAAATGGCTCCCTATTGCAGCTACTATGACAAGAATTGCAAGTGTAACTATCCTAAGAGTGTATCATAGTCCTGCGTGGCAGTTCATCATTTCGAGATAACAAGCTAATTATCTTTACATTGTGGCTATGATCCTCCTCAGATAGGAGAATCTACCGAGTACATTTATCAAGACTAGAATGGGCAATTGAGAAATCAATATTGACCTACCATACTAAGAACCTGGTACAGAGCCGGTTAGAAAAACAAAAATCGACAGGGGACATAATCGAAGGTGGGGAAGGCAGTATTCTCTGAAGAGGAGCAGTAGAGCACCAAAGACTTCCTATCATGCCATAAAGAACTTCCTATTTTCCTAGTTCAACACAAGTATTAAAAACTCTTTGTTTCGAAACAAGGACGAGACAATCGTCTCGAGTCTGGCCGTGAAAATGCGTATGTAACTATGACACTATGGTGTACACAAGATCGATGCAAAATGCAAAACAACATTACTCAAGAGCATACCTGTTGTCCTAGATGTTAAGGGGGCACTTCTATCCTTCTTCTCAGAATCGGGAACTTTTCTGAGTGCTTTACCGGCTTTGATATCAGCTAAAAATGCTGGTCCTGAAGACTCGGAAACCTGTTTCGGAGGTGGTCGAGTGTATTTATTTTGTAGCGGAGGTGGTGGGGGAGGAACAGACATTACATTGATCCACAGAACAAAGTCAGCTAGAGAACCACAGAACTAGGCTCACAAGGTCAAACTTCTGATACACCCGCCATTTTTTAGATGAAGGACGTGATGTACAATGTCACAATACTAAGAATCAGCACACAGTCCTCTGGAAAAGAAATAAAACTCCGAACGGCCAGAATTCAATTGCGACGCTGTCCAATATTAGATATTGGTAGTGCGAGCGTAGAAAAATTCTAGTTTTTGATCTCTCGCGTCTAGTTCTTAGGGCTTGGTTCCAGTTGTTCGGTTTACTCCTGCAGTGGACGAGGAAATACCCTCTGCTTTCTTGCTTTCAGCTTCGGTGAGGTGGGTGTTTTGTGGGTTAGTAGGTTGTAATTTGTAGAGTGATTAGAGAACTACGGATTGCTGGGAAGTTTAGAGAACTGACTCGACTCCTGTCTGTGTAGGTACCTGAAAGAGAATAGTAAGGTAGTGGTAAAGGAATGAAGAGAGAATAAAGAAGAGAGTGAAGTAGCACCATAGAGACTCTGGGAGCTGGGTTAAGGCCGTATCGCTAACCATCCTTGCCTTTAAACAAGAGTTTACGTAGATAGCCACTCCTCCTCCTGCTCTATGTTCCCTGTCCCTGCGGAAGAGTTCCATGCCAGTAACATGCATCTCTTCGTCGGAGATGTCTGGCGAGAGCCAGGATTCGGTGATGAATATGATGTCGGAGTGCTGATGTGCACGCAGCGTCCTCATTTCTGCTACCTTCCCTCTTAGCCCCCTAACGTTGCTGTACATACATATTAGAGTGTGCCTGGTGAGAGGGGAGGTCTGGATGTGTATTTTCGAGGGATGAGCGCTTATGTGGTTGGGTCTACCCTCGCCAGCCCTCATAGGACTGGCATTGTTCCGTTTTTGTGTGTTTTGTTCTTAACTTGGGTGGGGGCTGTAGCAGTGGTGGCTTCTTTACTTGATGTATCTAACTCACTGGTCGGCGCCTGTGTGACGACCACTGACTCCAGAGGTCTTGGTGGTCGCCGTCTCTCCTCTTGCCTTGTGGGTCTAGGCTTACTTTCACATATACGTATTGAGCCACCCATGCGATCTTTCGCATTATACCATGCCTGTAGAACGTCTGTGAGGGAGGCATATGAGTCGAACTGGACGGCGAGTAGTCTGGGATTGGGTATGGTCTTCAGGTGCGCTGGCCTTGGCAGTCTACTGACGCTGTTGGCCGGTATACCGTTGAGACCAACTTTGGTTGAGAGCCATTGCCATTGTTGGACGTCGTGAAAGTACCGATCTTTGACCGAGCTGTCACTTGGCAATTCTGGAATCCCATGTACAACTATAGTGTTGTTTCTGTTGGGATTTCCAACCGCTGACTTTCTCTCCTCCTCTCTCATTGACCATGGCTTGTCAGGCCTGGCCCGAATTTTACAGGCATTAACAACGTCCGGTTGTCGCGAGAGGAGGAGTGTGTCTTCAGCCTCTTTGGTAGTATTTAGGGACACACGTAAAGGGGGTGGCTTGTCTCGGGGTGCATGGCTTCCTCGAGAAAGGTGACATAAAGTTGCAGGGAGGGGAGGGAGTCCTAGCATCTGACAGTAGTCGGTCCACATTCGGCTGTCAAACCGTTCCCTCTCGACCAACAATGAGTCTGTCGATACATCGACGTTGAACAAAATGATCGAGTTGGTCCTCCTGTGACCTGGGTTCGTTGTGGGTGGCACGCCCGACTTCCCAATGGGTTTGAGTAATTCCACTGGTTGTTTCTCAGTCACGGTGTGTGGGGTGTTCGGAATGGGTTTCGTAGAGGCTTCGGCGGTCGATGTCTTTGGCCGTGCGCCTGACGTCCCCCAGGGCCGGGTAGGAGGTATGGAGACTTGACCTAATATGGTCCCCACGCGAGGTGGCGTGCCGGCAGCTGGAGCTCTAGGTCTGTTTCCAGGTCTCTCTGTGTTATCTTTTGGTGTTAACCCTACTTTATTCGAGGATGCTGGTAGCTTTTGCGTGGCGGGGAGCATCTCCTTCAGGCTTTCTGTGCGGAGTGCGGGCATTTTCCTGCACTCTGGACAGATGTACCAGAACCACTTGCATGGTTGTCTCTTCATCAGCTTATAGTATTGTCAGGGGACTTTGGTGTCGCAGTGGCAATGCGCCCATCGTTGACATAGGTTGCATGCAAATGCCTCATCGACTACCGAATTAACTTTGGTGCAAACACTGCAGCCATCGGGTGTCGTAATACAGCATTCCTTGCATGAATAAGGTGCTACGGATTGTGGCGAACTGCTTATGGCTGCCTTGTGCTGAAGCCTTCTACGTCGTCTTCTATTTCCAGGCATGGTATGATCCTTGCTCAAAATAGGACTAGTTTGTGACGGGCTAGTGCTTCTCTGTGTCACCTGTCTGATGGCTGCTGGAATTCTAGAAACATGGGTTGGCCACTTCTTTAGAAGTTCGGTGTTCTGCCCTACCTCTGTTTGTATTCTAGTACAGACTAGTGTGTTGTTTAGGGTGTTACTGGCCGTTGTTGTGCACAACCGCGTTATCCGTGTCAAAGCTTCGGATCTAGCGTTTTGGGCAGACATGTCGCTACGATATAAACTTCTTGGGAAAACAAACAGTTAACAACAATAAGAGGGTTGAAGACTGAATGCAGCAAAAGGACAGAATAGAAAAGGGAAGATAATTTATGTTGGCTCACCTTCAGACACTTGTCACTTGATCCTCTGCTCTTGACCAACGAGTTTAACCGTAAGCTCCAGATGCGTATGTATAACCAGGAAAGATATTTCCTGGGGAATGACCTCCGAGGAGAACCGAGAGCTAAGGCAGTTTGGCAGCTGAAACGCCCAAGAACCACTGACAGGAGGTAGACCGGTTGGTTCAAAGGAATAATAATGCCAATTTTCAACTGTTGAGAAGTGAGCTGACGAATGCGCAGGGGTGAGGTGCGTGGACGGACAGAAGTGCTGCAAACGTTCGATATTTTGAAACGGTGAAGCTTTCTCACACGTCAGTTCCCACTTTCTTCCCTCGAATGCCTACGTCACTTACTGTCTAATCAAAGTAGACGATGAGCCAGCTCACACGATTGATTGTACGAATTTGGAAAGCACCGCTGGACAAATTAAACTGGGCATTGGTCACTGTATTTTCATGGTGGGCAGCGATGCCGTTCGAAATGATAAAGCTGATGGGAATAAATCTTTACTAAGCGTTTTAGTGTTGCCACACATCTTCGGAGGACACCCTAAAGGAGTTTTAAGAGCAGACATACACCCACAACGCTGTAAAAGATTCACTTTTGGGGGGTGGCTGAAGAGCTAACATCGAGTATGCGTGTTACAAGGCTAGTGGACACCAGTCAGTAGACGGTGTAGCGACAAGATGGACAACTGTTTATTTTCAAGACATATTTTGTAGAATGTTCGATAAATGCTCCTGCCCAGCATTTGTGATCACCACGTTCTGAAGGTCCCTGGATAGCAACTCAGGGGTTGTTGGCTCATAATCACCTCCAGAATTCTCCCACCCGTGACATTTTTTCTTGGACCATGATTTAATGGGTGCTGATTTGAATGGCACGAGGCCGTTGCTAAAAGCTGATTTTTTATGCACACTTTAGCAGAAAGCTAAAAATCCACGTGTGCTTAGTGTGCATTATCGTCGCTTCACATAGTGCAAGTTGTCCGATATGTGAATCTTCTCTTGAAACTATTTCGGTATAGACAGTTATGAAAACCTGCAGGGGCTCATAGTCAGTCAGCATTGATCGGCACCCTTCTATATCACCAAGGATAGAGATCTCAAATGTTTTTCCTCTCCAGAGTGGAATAGCTGATATTTGCTGTTTACCCTCTTGATCCTCTGGGTCTCCACAACATCTAAAAGACGAATAGTGGGAATACTTTCCCCCAAGAGTTCATAGCCACGGACATCAACTTTGTGGCTATTCCATTGCCTTCACTTTCATAAGCAATGAGACACCAGGACTGCCTGATACGCCTCTGTGCCTTTTTTAGAATGTTAATGGAAGCCGTACAGTGGATGCTTCCATGACAGAGAACTGTCTTGCAAATCCCTCTGCACTACGCCAAGCCTTTCTTCACTCACATCATCTCTTGTGTCTTGCACATACAATCCGCCGCGTCATCCAATGGGTAGCCCTGAGCGTCAACTTGTTAAGAAAATTTTAATTGTCCGTAGAGACCACAACCGGAGGTGCTGCAGTGCTTCTCTCGGACGTAGTACATCAATAGTATGAGAAGAATAGTCTCAATGGATCCACCACATTTTGTTTAGCTCCGAAAGTTGTGTTGTCTAAATAGTTACGATGGGTACCACGTTTCATAAGTGTCCTACCTCTTACCACGTACGCACAGACAGGCTACTGCTTGGGGTCGCAGTGAGTACCTCTGGAACGAGATAGCACCACTTCTGTCGAAACCCCACACAGCACTCTAGATAAACTACAGTTATCGTGCTATATTCTACATACTGTGCCCGTGGAACCCAGACCTAAGAAGCTTTCTCCCTGAGAGCCCCGTATTAGGTGGTAACCTCCGGCAGTGAAGCAGTGCGTCATAGAACTAGAGGAACAGGAACGAGCAGTTCGTGTCGTTAGCCCCGCGGCTGTGCCCATTTAGCTTTCACATTTTGGATGAAGACAGACCCCAAAATAGGCGAATCTAACCTCAGGATGGGAAGGGAACGAAGAAAGTCTCTTCTTAGGGTCATCAAAAATTTATATGAAGCTAGTTCCTTTTTGCAGGAGTTTCGAGACACCATCCAGTCCATCTCCTAGTATATGGGGTGTTGTAGCAATGGCTGGCAAATCCTTTTCAAAACAGAAGTGAGGAGCGTGGGAAACTGTTGCCTTTATTAATAACGATTAGCTTCAAAGCATGTAATTTAATCGGTATGATTTCGTTATCATTATCCTTTGACATATATGTGTTGAAGCGAAGTAAGCAAGTGTCCCACTGATTTCGGTGGCAGTACACTCGGAATTTAGGTTGTCGACTGGATGCATAACATCAGTTGAAATATATCAGGCTCGTCAGCTACAGTACTACTTAAGCGTGTCCCGATTACGCAGGTATCCCGTAAGCTGCTACTTAAGGCGCCTGCAATAGGGCGCTCTCATTTGTAAGCCGGAAT